CTGGAGACTAATGCTGCTTACATATAGCAATAAAATTGATATTTAAAATAATGTGTTTCTTTAATTCTCCCTGAAGAGATGATTTCTATCTTTGCATTGCTGTTCACATGAAAGCTGGAGTAGCCTTCTGCGGCCATACATCATCCTGAACTTCTAATGTGCCCCGTGCTATAAAATATGAGTGAGTCATGCACTCTGTGCAACAGCTACAGAGCGCAGGTATATTTGAGATTACTCCTGTTTTCTGGTGATATGTTTGCTCACAATAAACGTTGGCATTCTTCAAAAAGGGAGTAGTGGCATGAATCTTCTACTGTCAAATAGGATGCACTGCACTGTAGCTAGCGAGTGTTATATACTGATGTGGTAAGTGATGGTGTTTTCTGCATCTTGGCACATACATAAATCATAGGATGGTATTTTGAAAATTTAAAGGAAGAAAAACAGTCACAGAATGATTGGGATTGGAAGAGACTTTTAAGAAATCACCCAGTCCAAACCCCCAGTTCAAGGAGGTCACCGAGATCAGGTTGCCGGGACCCTGTTGTTTAACAGCTGCAAGAAGCAGCGTGACTCTGGGCAAGCCTGTGCTTGGTGTGGGGTAGAGAGCGCTACCGAGCCAGGCTGGGCCGATGGGAGGGTTTTTGTGCCGTTCTGCTAGCCAGCAGGACTGCTTTAGACCAGGAGTCCAGAAGGGTGCGAGGGCAGCTCTGAGGAACTCTGCAGGGTGAAAGGGAACGGCGTCTTGCTGGAGGAAAGCTGCCCAGTGGAAGCAACCTGAGGAAGACAGGGTGTTTTTTAAGCATTTACTAGAAGTTGATGGTATTTTGGAGTATAAGCGCTTGTGTTGGCTCTTTAGGAAAGATTTAGGAAATAACTTTTTTAAAAAAACTTCCTGTTTCAACAGGAGTCAGAGCTTCTGCTTTAAGGTCAAAAATCAATGCTTCCTGCTCATCCTAAAGAAGTTGCAAAACAGCTCAAAGCTGGTGCTGGCAGGTGAGGGTACCTGAACTTACTTGGTCTACCTGAGGGAGCGCTGCACATCTGTGAGCTGAGTTAAAGGTGTGAAGCCTAAAATTTGAGGCATTATATTCTGAGATAGGGTATATGTGATAGTGTAAATTTTTTAATAGTTACAATGAATGGAAAAATAAGGATTAGTGGACTAGTAGATAGGAACAAACTTTTTAGATGAATTGTTGAAAGTATGTACCCTATCAGTATACCAGCTCAGAGGAGAGCTCTTGTATTTTTTGTCTAAAAAACCTTCACAGCAAGCTGCCTGGCCTATATTTTGTTTTTTTTTTTACAGTCTTGAATGATATAGGCTGGTCCCCTGGACATTGTCTGTTCTGGCCCCGTGTGTCACGTGGGGCGAGCTTGGATGAGGCTGCTCGGGGCCCCGTTTGGTCGAGTCTTGAGTAACCCCCAACAGTTGTGCTCTTAGCCATTCTGGAAGGGGGTCAACTTGCTGCTGCGCATTAGTTGTCCTGTTTGTTCTTTTTTCTGTAGCTACCTTTAGGGAAAAAAAAAAGGGTGTCTGGCCTTGAATGAGATAAATAATCTCCTGGCTCAGGGGATAAATATTACATAGTTGTAGGAAGCTGCAGTTCTGTGTGTGCTGCTTGGCGTTCTTGCCTCCTTCACCCCCTGATTGTAGCAGCCTGGTTGCCGGTCTCTCATGGCGTGTATCCGGTCTCATCCGTATCTCACACATTCCAACGGGCACGCTTCCTGTCTTTGCGAGCGAACGTAAATCATGGAGCTGGGCTTGCCGCTTGCTGCGCGCTGGGTGGGACGGGACCTCCCTGCTTGTGCACTCATAGGCTCTGCTCCAGAAAGCGTGTGGTAATTTCCTTCATTGGAGTTGCTTCTTTCCTTTGGATCTTATTGGGTTTATTAAATCTATAACTTTTTTTTCTCCCTGCATTTAATACCTTGTAGAATATTTCAGTTTTGAAAGAGCTACCCTTTGGATTGAACTATGTGCACAAAAAGTGGAAGGCATCCAAATCCAACTTTAAGCAGAAGGAAAATCAAGTTGTCATTCAAAGTAAAGTCTTTACTCTTGAGGTACTTGAAAGAGTCTGTCCTTTGAGCTTGTGCATTTTGCTGTGTTCTCTAACTTCTGCACTTGACAGGTATTATTGATGCATTAGGTATCACAACTGCGTGGACAACATTCTGAGAGTGAGAAATCTAAAATGTATTTAATACAAAAATATATTGCCAAGTTATCTCTGTCCTACTGTTTTCTGTGGGGCAGTAAAGGAGATCTAGAAATGACAAAGGGAAAAACTCCTCAAAATGGAATTTAAGTTACTGTCTAATGAGCGCTCCTTCAGGTTATGTGGAAAGCTAGAAAAAACACTCACTTTCTGTGGTCCACGGAAGTGCTGATGGTGGCAGCGTTTGGGGAACTCACCTAGGCTTGTGTGACATGTTTGCGCTTTTGAGAAGTTCCTGCCGTGGAAAGTTCCTGCTCCTGTGGTCATCTCGTGTGGGAACTAGAGCAGCGGAGAAGTAGCCCTACAAGGAGGTAAATAGCACTTGCCTCTCAACCCTCAGCATCACGTAGGCTGTCCTTGTGCGTTTAAACTAGGTATTAAGCTTCTGTGTGCAGAGACTTCATACGTCAGATGTTAATACTTGGAAAACTTGTTTTGGGCTGTACTGCTCGGCTGTTTCCTGAGCTGTGAACATGCCCACTGCTGCTTTCTGGATGGTTGTTTTCCTTGTCATCCTCACCTGCCTCAGACAAATTATACTAAGCCCAGAAGACTAAGCGAGCTGGGCCTCTTGAGAGGGGATCTCATCAATACATACAAAAACCTGAGGGGATAATGTAGGGAGGATGGGGCCAGGCTCTTCTTGGTGGTGGGCAGAGACAGGACCGCTAATCGGCTACCGGTTGAAACACAGGAAGTTCCATCTCCACATGAGGAAGAACTTTCCTGTGACCGTGACAGAGCCCTGGAACAGGCTGCCCAGAGAGGCTGTGGAGTCTCCTTCTCTGGAGGTCTTCTAAACCCACCTGGACACCACCCTGTACCACGTGCTCTAGGTGTCCCTGCTTTAGTAGTGGAGTTGGACTAGATGATCTCTAGAGGTCCCTTCCAACCTCAACCATTCTGTGATTCTGTGATTCTGGGGGGGTACCCACGCTGAGGGAAGTAGGGAATTGAACTGTCAGCCAAAGAGCTTGGAAATGGGATAGAGAAGTTACCATGGAGTTCTGCTGTGTTTCACTCTTATGTAGTTGGGCATTGAGTGCCATGGTAAAACTAAGATGAGATGCATCCTTAAAAACAATGTTGGTGAGGGTGCAGGGTGACAGAACATTTGTGTATTGGAATTTAGACAGCACTTGTGAATTCCTGCATTGGAAAGCCTATCTAATACTAGGTCTCCTGTGTGAAATCCTGCTGCTGGTGCATACATGCATGTTTGAAAGCATTTTGCTCAGTCCTTGTCCTTGGGATGCTATAATTAACAGTTCCAGTTTCTGAAGCAGCACATTTGCCAGCGAATTTGTAATTGCCGAGGTTTTGTCGTGTCAGCACAACCCGTGTTGTTTGTTTGCTTCACCAAGGTTGGAATTCAAAATTAACTGTTGTTATGACTTCCCCAAGGATAAAAGTTTCTGAACATACAAAGAGAAAACAAAGAGAAATTACATTATTCTCTATTCATCTGCAATACAGGTGCTTTTTCAGTGTCTTTTTAGATTTTTTTTTTCCTCAATTCTGTCAAATTTGGTAGGTAATCTGTTGGGAGATACGAGATGTGTTTGCTATCCAAGAAGACATGGTTTTGATGATTTGATTTAAATAACACAGCTATTCAATTTAAGCAGTTTCAACTGGTAAGGAAATAAGTTTCTGGTGTTTTTCACTTTTGCCTTTGTGCATTGCAGTCTCTTGGACTGATTGCTATACATGAGTGGTCAAACTTCAGCCAGTTGTTTGGTTATCCTCAGCACAATGTGGTCATTTCCCAATGCTGAGCAGTAGGATAGCACGGAAAAAAATGGCAGAAATAGTCTATATTAGACTATGCTCCAGAACATAAGTATTAAAAAAATCTGTAATGTTTTTGGATTCCTGATTTCTGTAATTTAACTTTCTGATTTCAGGTGTGCATTGCTTCCAAAATGATTGTTGCCTTTGCCTTATTACCTGCCAGAATGCTGTTTTTAGCAATTGTATTTCAAAGGTGATAGTCCTGAAAAGCGGTTAAAGTTGGTATATCCTAGGAAAACATTTAAGAATGAATTTCACTTTGTAACAGTTGGGTGTTTTAACATATAATGGGAAGTCTCAGGTCAGAGAGGAGAGAGATGTCTCTGTGAAGAAGGGAAGGAGGATTTGTGTTCTCCCATTTGTCCAAAGCCCTATGGGAAGGAACTCTTATTTTATTTTGTTTATTTGGTTACTGAATTAAAATACTTTGTTCAAAGTTGTAGAATGAAAAATAAGAAAAAAATTAGATGTTTTCTTCTGTGTATTAGAGATCAATCTTGTATGAACATTTAACTTCTACTGTTTTGGCAAAACAGATTTGTTCTATAAAATGAAGATTTCAATATTGTTCATTATTAAATAGTTTCATAAACAGCAATAAGGTACTAATTCTGTTTTGTTTCTCACTGAAGAGGTAAGGATTGAGATACACTCTTTGCAGAAATATCTCCTAATGTTGTGAATGTGCTTTCAAATCAACTTACCTTTTTAAAAACAGAGCTGCACATGTTTTCAGAAGACTATGAAGGTGCCAAGTGTTGTCTTTTTGTCTGACTGAATTAATAAGAGCTTTGCTTTTAAGGTATGAAATGGTTTGGAGAATTATACTGGATCTGGAAGGTGCTTCTAAAATTGGTCTAGAAACATAAAATCTTGCCTTGTAATTTAGCGTTCGGAACCTATATATGTGTTAAAACATTTTATTAAATTCCTTCTTCAGGTGATATGTTTTGTAAAACCTGTGCTTCTGTTGCAGGTTCCTTCAGAGAAAGCGGAATCCTTTGCATCCATGTTGAGACGCTCTCCTTTAATTCAGATGGGACCTGCCAAAGATAAAATCGTCATTGGTCAAATATTCCATACGGTGGATGATGACCTCTATATAGATTTTGGTGGCAAGTTTCACTGTGTGTGCAAAAGGCCGGAATTAGATGGAAAGTAAGTAATATAGCTATGGTAAGCAATGCAAATATGTGAAGGAGAAACTCAAATGGTTAGATAACTGGACTCGATCTTCTGGAGTGAGCTTTATAAATTGCATGGTGTAAACTGTGGAAGTTAAAATATTGTGCTGAGCTGAATGTGTTATGACCAACAGATCTGCTTAGCTCAGAAATCGTCGTCTCGAATGGAAATTCCTTTGCAGGTTTACATTACTGATATCTACGTTATGGCAACTTATAGAGGCCAAAGCAAGTTAATATTGTTTAAAGTGTCATTTGTCTGCAAAACACAAATTTTGGATCCGAAGTCATTTGCTGATATTTTATGTTTTATATTAATTTGGATATGCAAGTTCTCAGAATTTTTCTTCCCCTTTGAAATGCATATTGGGAGCAAATTGTTAGTGAGTGTTAGTGAGTGGTTGGACTGAATAATTTTGTTACAGAATTTTACATTGGGCTCATATGTGATTTATCTTTTGTTGATTGATTCAACAAAGCTATTTTATATGTTCCTTTTTATGTTATCTCTAAAAGAAACGTGAGCATTTTATGGTGAAAGTAGCAAATCTAATTCATCTCCTCTGTAAAATGGACTTTAATATTCCTTTTTGGGAGGAGGAGCCTCTCCTCTCTGTGACCACCAGGAGGGGAGCGTTACGGGTGAGAACAGAGCGCAGAGAGATTCAGTGCTGCTCTCCTGAGTCTGCAGAGCTAAACTTTTTGCCTGGCTTAGTTTGTAACTGGAGTTGTAACAGGTCCTGGAGTTTTCATGAGGAAGAATATCCAAAAACGCCTGGTTATGAGAAAGAGTAACAGACCCAGCTCTCGAGGGCAGCTGAGGAAGTTGAAGGATGGAGAGGGACCCACAGAAATGGTCGTGTCTATCCAGCGGGTGTTTGAAGGGCTGATGCAGCAGCTAGGTTTTTAAAGGTGTTTAATGATTTGTTCAGGTTCTTCTGAGACACAAAGGAGTACTAGAGGCTGATTAGAGGAGAGCTCCCAATGGGTGCAAGGATGGCAGCCTAGAAGCAAACGCTTTGCAAACTCTTCCCTACAATATAGGGAAGTTCTGCTTGTTAGTTTTGAATTTTCTTGAAGGGAGACTTCTGTCTCTTGTCTCATTTTTGCTTGTGCAGTTTCACCTTCTGTCCATTTTGACACTGAAAGCAAGAGAATTTTCATCATCTCAGTTGTAAAATATTTCAGTAATGGTCATTTCAGAGGTTTTGTGAATATGTAGTTTTAATACCTTCTAAACTGTAAGCCTTCTGGGGCGCGAACTATCCTGTGCTAAAAAATGTATGTGAGATGCCAGGCAGGGAGTTTGCATTTTATTTGGGTCAGTGTTCCAATGGGTAATTGGTATTATTGCACCATCCTTAACTGGAACTACTCTGTTGGGGAATGTAATAGTAAAAGAAGTAAAAGATAAGGAAAAAATCTGGTGGAAATCACATTTATAAGCTTTCTAAACTCTCTAATACCCTCTGATTGTGTGTTATTTAAAGATACTTTGCACAGTATATTTATAGGATAAATAATGTTCTCTTTAAATGTAGCTTTAAACTACTGTTTGATTCCCCACAGTAATGTACATTTCCGTACAGAATTTGTATGAACAATAAAAAAATTCTGGTCTAATTTGTCTTCAAGATACTTTAACGTTTAGTTTTTAGTATGTTGGCAAAATCCCATTTTACAGATTCCTATCCTTTAAATATTTAGTTTTACCTTTCTCTATTTTTTGTGAGAGGAAGAATACCGGTGTCAATCTGTATCATCATTGGTTTGTAAGATGTTAAATATAAATGATATGATATGATGAAGTATTCTGCAATAGTTTGTTTTTAGAAAAGCTTTGTTAGAAATAATGAGACATTTCAGAACAAGTTTGGGATATTTTATCAGAGCATTTGTATACTCCACTTTCTTAAATATTAGGGTTGAACATTTCCATAGTGGCTTTATTTTCCCCACACACATTTCTGACAGATGTGTCTTCCCAGGCAAATGCTATTGATAGCTGTAAAGCAGATAATATGCTATGCTTGTCAGAAGATGTACAAACACTGGCAAAATAAAGTGTGGAAAAGAAATGCATTTCAGTGGAATTTGTTCTCTCTAATACAGCTTACAGGAAGACAAGTGTTTGGTCTGCCTGTGCTCCTTTGCTCACTCCTCTGCTCTCCTCAGCCCCATAGCCCTGTGCTTCTTGCTGTGGGAGCTGGTTGTGGTGTCAGTGGGGAGCAAGACCCAGCCCAGGATCCCAGGAGCCACACCAGGAACTTTCTGGCTGTTTATTCTGATTATCAAAATAAACAGATTCAGCTCAGGTTTTCCCTCTTTTTATTTCTTTCTCCTTTCCTCTTTTGGATGGTAATAGAGAGAAATAAACCATCTGGAATATTTTTAGTTAAATAAAACTTGGAACTAAAGGTGGTTCGCAGAATGATGCCGGCAGCATTTACAGCATTGAGAAGGGGGTGGTGCTGGTGGTGATGCTCTCTCCATTTCCAATACATTTACATCTGAGATGGTCATCTAGGATGCTGGGGACTGAGTCAAATGCCCTTTCCCCATCACGTCCAGGAGCTTGAATTTGTGTCTGACTTCTCAATTGCTTAAAAGATCCGTGGCCCTAATCTTCAAACTGAAGTATTTCCATTGGAAAATGTTTGAAACAGTCTCGTCACCTTTTTCCAATTCTTTTTGTCTGTTTCTGATTTGCCTGGAATTTCCAAAATTTTATCAGGATTTACCCAAAAATGCTGTAGCAGCCTTTTATTGTTATTTCTTGTGAGATGGCCGTTGTCACGAGGCGCTCTCTTAACAGCATAGAGTATCAGTAGCCTTTAGATAGCCCGGGGTTTGGATTTCACTGCTTATTTAAAAAGCGGCGGGGAGGATGTGCCTGCGCTCGCACAGTTGCTTTGATCTGCTCAGCTCATTGACTTGCACAGTGAAGTTTGCCTTACCAGAACAAATCCGAGCGTTGTGTGCGGCAGCCTCTTGGCCCGCGTGGGTGCTGAGAGGCCTTGCTGCTCGGACACCTCTCACCGAGACGTGCAGGCTTCTGTTTGGAAGGCAATCACAGTTTTGATTTACAAATTTAACACCAAAGCAGCAGCACAGGGGCTTCTCGCGAAACACAAAAGTGACCTGGTGGTGGTTGCAGGGTATGCTCTGTATCATACAGTGGTTAAGGTAATAAGAATTTGTTGCTGTGATTTTGGTTTATCTGCTTGCTGGCTGCAGTGACTTTGTGTCATATATTGCTTGCACTTTATCAGCATAACTGCTTGCTGTTTGCAAATGACCATTTGTGTCACGGAGAAGAAAGGATGTTCTAGCTTGCAGATAACATGATTTCTTTAAGAGGACAAAAGAATCAAATTTAATCTTCAAACACGGAAACCCCTGGTGCCAGGTCAGTTGTAGTTGTCCTACTTACCTATATTTTAATGCTGATACTTGTTTTTAATGGCGATGCCTATTCAGGTATTTGAGAATCTTTAATGAGAAAAAAAAAAAACAAAAAACCTCTCTTGCCTATTTTGGAAGGAGGCATCTTCCTAAGGATGTTGCCCTCCTTGGTCTCTTGGCTCTATGCTGGAGTTCTCACCGTTACTGAACTATTCTGTTTGATACTGTGGTGCAGTTTGCTTTTTCTCACACAGTGTTTTCTTTGTTTTTTGAAAGTACTGAAAGTCATTTGAAAAGAAACAGGAGAAAATGTATTTTTCCACCTGTTCTTCTAAAGTAAAAAGCCTGTTTAAAAATAAGTAGGTAAAAAACCCTTCCGAACAGTAACGATGAGAAGTTGAAACTGAGTCAGGATTTGAAGGCTAGGAATCTGCTAGCTATTTCCTGTTGGTTTTGGTGATTGTCCCGCTCCTTTCCCTTCTTTTTGGAAAAGGGAATGTTTCATGGGTTTGGAAAACTCATTTTATTGTCAGTATTGGTGCTGTTCAGATTGGAAACATAAGTCAGCTTGCCTAAAAACCAAAGATACTGTTGGTAAAATGTCATTGGAGTCAGGCTAGGATTTATTTGCAGCAATGTATCAACTGTAGACAGTGGATGGGGATTTATTTAATATGACATAAGAATCCATATGATTGTAGGGTTATTTTTAATGTGTAGAAATAAGCTGTAATTTTAAAAAACATGTTTCTTGATGTAATCTTTCTAATGCTGTATTAAATCTGTTTTGTGCCAGCAATATATAACAAATTTGCAAATCGCTCAGCATCTATATGAATGCAAGAAAGACTCTCTAGAAAAATACAGACAGAATAACTTTCCAAATATTGGAGATGTGAAAGTGGTGTTTATGTTTTATTTTTTGTTGTTCTTGTTTGTGTTCTTTTTCCTTTTTTTTTTCTTTTCATATGTTGAGGAAATAAAGCTGTAAAGAGGAAGCTGTTGGAGATTTCCAAAAAGAGCAGAACTCTGGTTCGTGGCGAAAGGTGCTGTAATAACCTGCTCCTTAATCAGAAAGTGTGGGCAGGGGGTGCTGCCACTGCCTGCTGCCTGGGCTGCACCTCTACCATTAACGAGCAATTCCCAGTGAAAGTCCAGTGGCTTTCAGCAATTCCTGAGCTGCAGGATTGTAGAAGCAGCTTCCAAAGAGGATTAAACTGCACCTTCCCCTGCCAGTGAAGCGAAGCTTCGTTTTCAAAGATTGCTCTAACCCTGCAGCAGCACCAGTGTTATCAGGCCAGGGGATCAGAAAGACACTGCCTTTATGTTCGGGTGTGCAGCTGGTGCAGGGCTTTCCAGTATAACCTCTGGCAGTTTTACTGACACCTTTTATGCAGCTCGTGTTTGCCAAACTTGAAGAGTAGAGAGGGAAGAAATCCTGCGATGCTGGTCGTGATTTAGAACATGACAGCTTAATGAGCACCATAAAGCAGTGCCAAATGCTTTTTCTGTAAATTGTATCAAAATATTTATGCTGTTTGAATGGTTGCCAGGTGGTTTTTTTCCTGT